TCCTTCTCCGGACGAGAATCGCCGGGCAGGAGGTGGGGGAGGCCCTGGTACAGGTTCAAGTTCGCTGAGCTTTCTTGATCTTGTTCTGCCTCCTAGCGACCGAATAGCTTATTCAGCCCACGTAGGGGGGAGGGGGGGTGCTGAGGACTGGGATGGCTCCCGCCCCCTCTGCAAACCCAGAAAAAGAGAAGAGAAAGGAGTGACCCTCGTAACCCCTCCCAAACTGGCCCTTTAACCCAGTGCCCGCACCGGGACAGGAGGAGAGGGGACTAACCCTCCCAGCTTGGAGTGTCCTGAGATGGACCCAAGAGGCAGAGGGGGGTACGAGGGAGCAGCCCGGACTGCGCGCCCCAGTCTGTCCTTTGAGCCCCCATTGTATCCTTCGGACGAAGGACCCGGCTTTCCCGAGTCCTGCGAACACTGCCCTTCCTTCCCGCCGGTACCTGGCCGGGCTGTAACTTCACACCGCCGCGCGCAGCGTCTGATCCGCATCCGGCGCGGCCGGGGGAGTGGGGGGCGGGGGAGAGCTGTGAGGGAGGGATGCGCGGGGGTGGGGAGAGGGAGGGCCCCGCAACGTGCCAGGGCGGGGGAGCTTCCGAAGTGTGTGACAAGTTCCAGGGCCCAGTGAAAAATTCAATTCCCTGTGCGCACCCCCCACACCCCTTTAAAAAAAGAGAACCAAGTATAGGTGGTCCTTTAAAATTGAATCAAAAATTAAAATAAGAATCATAAATGAGGTTGAGGGGGATGCGGGCCCTCTTACGCCTTTCTTTCCCTTGCTGCCAAACTTTCCTAAGTGCCTACCGCCCGCCTTTCTCCGCGCACTCAGCCGGAGACAGCCACCACAATCACCACCACCTTCTGTACAGAGTCACAAGGACCCCTGACCAAGCCTGACCCGGGGTAGAGAGCAAGAACCCAAGGGTGGTGCGCGGGGTCCCGGGATCCAGCACCCCCGAAATGCATTCTCCCCCGCCCCCCCACTCCTGGCCTGGCTGCGCTCGGGCGCGCGGGGCTGCTGGCCAGACCCGGTGGGAGGGGGCAGGGAAAGCACGTGGTGACCTCCCAGCTGTCCGAAGCACTGGACAAGAGACATCTGAGAGTACCTGGGGCGGAGGGGAGGGGGCGCGCAGAATACGCTTTTCCTGTAGCTTTGCAAAATAAAAATGCTTTGCAGAGCCGAGTTTCACCCAGCAGATTTCTCAGTCTGGGAGGTCGGGAGGAGGTCTGGGCATTGTGCTGGGGGCGGATGGGGACCGCGGGCCAGGCTGGCTTGGAGTCACAGCGTGACCTGACGCGGTGCCTGGCGGGTGGACGGCGGGCGCCGGGTGGGCGATCCCGGGCTGGGCTGGGGCGCGGCGAGGTCGGGCGAGGCCCGGGCGAGGCCGGGCCGCCGCCGCCGCCTGCTCCCGGGCTGCCGCGCCGCGCTCGGTCCTCAGTCTGTTTGTTGGCAGGAGGCTCCCGCACACGCGGTGCTTGTAAACATTCAGACACGAGATTTTTCCCAATCAAAATCCACTTCCACTTTTTTTGAAAATCTTCCAAAAAATAGTAAGAGGAGGGAGTTCCTCTCTCCCTCTCTGTGCCGCCGGCGCCCTAAGTTTGCAACTGAAGGGGTTTTTGGGGAAGGGGGTGACTGTAAATTTTTTTTTCTCCATGAGAGATTGTGAGATTTTTTTGCAGGGGGGGTGGGGGAGTCAAAGAAGACCGTAGCGAAAAGGGCTGGCAGAGCGTTTGGCTTCTGTTTTGGGGCAAGAAATTGTACGTTCTCTTGCCTCGTTTTATTTTATTTTTATTTGTTTATTTATTTATTTAATTTTTTTTTTGCACGTCTCCTCACCACCTCTGAGGCTCGGCCGGGAGGGGCGGGCAGCGGCAAACCGAGCGGTAGCGGTCCGGGCTCCCTCCCTCTCTCTCCCGCGTGCCCACCGCCACCTCCTCCCCCGGCCCTCGCTCCTGCCCTTCGGCGGCGGCGGCGGCGCGGGAGGGCAAGCGCGAGGAGCCGGCACAAAAGGCAGCGGGACAAACACCCACCTCGGGCCGGAACAAAAGGCGGCAGCGCCGGCCGCGTCTCCCGTCCTTCCCCGTCACCCGGCTCTCCCCGCCGCCCCGGCCCCTCTCCCGACTCGGCAGACTCGGGAGCGCCAGGGGCACCCTTCCTCAGTCCCACTTTCTCACTATTGTGGGGATGACTACTTTCCTCCCGGTGCACACTTGACCGTGAGCGCGCTGGTGTCCAAAGGCCAGTCTCACCTCTTTTCTCCCCGGGAATTTTTTTTTTTAGACTTGGACTCACTCTCCCCCACCCCCCTAATCCTACGGTGAGTGGAAGCAAACCCCCGTTCCCCACCAGCTCCCATCCCCAGGTTTGCATGTAAGTTGTCCGCATCCTTAGCATTGTTCATTATTTTGCAAAACGGGGGGCACGGCGAGGGGGGGGAATCATTGCATTCCTTCTCGAAAAGAGAAATAAAGCGGCAGAAAGGAGGAAAGAGGAGGAGTCAAATTTTTGTAAAATTAAATAAAATTAAAAGGTGCGTGCTATCTCAAAAGTGCATACGGCTGTGGTTTGAGATGGGATGAGGGTTTTTCCCCCCTTTTAATCTCTTTTACCTCGACTCTCGGAGGTTTTTCTTGTGAAAAATTTTAAAATGCATGCACACACCCCTCTCTCCCCCTCGCTCTTGCTTCTCGTCCTGCGCGTTCTCGTGATTATTAATAATTATTATTACTATTATTGGGCTACTTACGCGAGAATTCCCGTTTGCTTAAGTGCTGGGGTTTGCCTTGCTTGCGACGAGACATGGTGGGCTGCGGGGCGGGCGGCGGCGGCGGCGGCGGCGGCGGCGGCGGGCGGACGACGGCTCGGTTCACATCGGGAGAGCCGGGTTAGAAAGAAGGAGACTCCAGAGAAAATATCTTCATCAGTGCCTTTTGACATCCAAAATAAATTAGAAATAATACAAAGATGGCGCAGGGAAGATGAATTGTGGGAGAGCCGTCATGGCTTTTTTTTTTAAGCAAAAAAAAAAAGAGAGAGAGAGAGAGAGAGAAGAGAGATAGAGGGAGAGAGAGAGAGAGAGATGAAAAAAATGGCAAAAGCCCCCCTGAGCTGCAAGTTCAAGTGCGGACGTGACGTCCCTGCGAACTTGAACGTCAGGAGTCTGGATGGACAGAGACACACAAAACATGGGCAGGGCGAGCAGGAGAGAAGGGGAGGAGGGAAGGGGAAGCTCACACCAATGGACACACATCAGGGGCTGGACATGAAAAAGAGACCAGGACAAGCCAATGGCCAGTGCGGGGCGGGAGAGGTGCGGGGCGGGGGGCTCCGCGGACGCCAGACGCGGCCCCCGGGGGAGGGGCGGGCGGAGGGAGGGGGCTCTGGGGCCGCGGGCTCACCAGTGGCCGCAGCGAGCGCCGAGGCGGTGGCGTGGCCGGGAGAGAAGAAAAGGGCGGCGGGGGTGAAAGGAGAAGGTGGGGGGGAGCAAGACGTGAGCCCTGCTCCCCCCCACACGCGGACCCTAAAATGAAAGATAATCTTAAAAAAAAAAACAACAAAAAAAAGCTAGAGTGCACCGGGAGGCTGCAGCCCGGGGTTGGGGAAGCGCGGGCGGAGGGAAGCCAGGTAGAGTTGCTCCCGGACACCCTCCTCCGTGCGCACACCCACTTCCCCTCCCCGCCGCCGCCGCGCTCGCTCCCCGCGTGCGGACGCCAGGGGCCGAAGTGAAAGCCCCGAGCCTGCGGCTGCGCTCAGGAAACTTTGCCCGAGGAGAGGATAGCAAAGAAAAATCACCCGAAGTTGAGAGCTGAGCCTCCAAGTTACAGCTCCGCAGCGGGCGAGGGGAGGCGGGAGGGAGCGCGCGGCGAAGCGGAGTCTAGCCTAAGTTTGGAGGGTTTCGGGTCCGGAAGGGCAGCGCCCCGTCCTCTGGAGCCCGGGCGGCCTGGGAAGGGGCTGGGGCGAGGGAGGCTGCGCAGCCCGGGGCCCGAAGGCCAGGAGGGCGCCCCCAAGGCCGAGCCAGGGACAGGGGATCTGAGCGCCCCGACAAGCGACTAGGTCTGAATGCAAATGGAAGCACCGAGTCCCCGGTTCCCAAGGGTCGCGGAAAGAGAGGCCGAGGAATAAAGAACGGAGAGCCAGAGTCCGAGCCCGTTCCAGCCCGGGGAGGGGATCGCCGGGGGCCGGGGCGAGGGAGGCGCCGAGGCGTCCACCTCTCCGAGCGGCTGAGGGCCGGAGGACAAAGCGCGGGCAGTCCCTGGAGTCCCAGTCCCTGGGAACGTGCTCCCGGCGCCGCGGGAGGTCCCCAAGCCGGGTCCCAGGGACACACCCCCTCCCACTCCAAAGCAACTGCAAAAGCACAGAAGAGTGGAAAGAAAATGTTTCTTACGGGCCGAGCACAACTGTTCCTGTGCTGTTACCCGGGGAAAGAGAAAATGGGGAATGGAGAGAGAGCGCGACAGGCTCGCAGGAGCAGCCGGGAGGCCACGGCGGTGAGATGACCGCCCCGGGTCAGCGCGCGCTCTCCAGGCGCCCCGGGCCGAGGCGCACACCCAGCAGCCCGCTGCTCCCTGCCGCCTTTCTGCAGACGTTCCCTGGAAATTAGGGAAGACCTGTTGGAAATAAACCCCTGTCTCTTTAATGCGCACACGCACACACACACACACACGCGCTGCCGCTGTCAAAAAGCGGGCTTCACTCTGGCGTGGGATACTTTCAGTTTTACGTAAAATGTACAGCAACAGCACCCCCTGCGATTGGAAAGTTTATTCAGAAACGTGCCTGTAAAGTCCCCCGGCGTCTCCCGCCTCCCAGCCTCCCGCCTGCCTGCACCACCCTGCAGCCGCCGCCGCCGGGGAGACCGCGCTCCCATTCCCCATCGGGAAGGGCCTGGGGGGCGAGGGAAATGGACTCAAGTCCAAGGGAGGTGCAGAGGGTGCAGGGTGGAGACGGGTCGCCGCGGCCCGCGAGCCCCCAGCTGCAGGTGGATGGATGTGTGAGTGTGTGCAGAGCGAGGAGCCTTCCCTCCCTCCCCAAGCGGCTCCACAACCCCAGTCTTCTGGTCCCCCTCCTCAGCCTAAGGGGTGTCGTTTCCGCAAATTCACCCACCCGGTGGGGAGCTTTGTTTTAAGCGAGGGCCCTGGCTTGCACGCGCTCGCCCACCTCGCAGTCTCGCCGGCAAGCGGCTGTTTGTTCCTGTGTCGTCTTAGCAAAGTTTCAAACCTACTATATTAGAAAATGACTGGCTTGCCTAGCACGGCGAAGCTCCGGACCCCTCTGAGGAAGAGGAGATTTTGACGGTTAACATTAGGAGAGATGTTGGCTGGACTGGGTTTGTGTTCCTGTGGTTTGCTGTTGTTTTTATTGTTTCCCTCCAGTTTAAAGGCGGTGGGGGGGGTGCTCAAATTCTGTTTAAGAAGCAGGAAGATTCACTTGCAGTAGAGCTCTGAGCGAGTGCGTGACACCATTTCCCCTTTTCATTGAGTTCTTCAGAGCAGGTCAGCATCTCTCTTTCCACTACAGTCTGGGTTTTTTTTTTTTTTTTGTCTCGTTAAAGCAGCCACCAAAAGAATGTCTTCGCGGAGGGGGAGGAGGCAGGACTAGGAGGAGGACGGTTGGAGGGTTGGAGGGAAGGTGAAGGAGGGAAGAAGGAAGTGCAACTGGGAGGCCTTTGAAAGAGAAAATAATAAAAGCCCCTTCAGGTAACAATAGTGAGCCAGATTCTTTCGGAACCGGGCTTTTCAGATTTGAATATTGTTACCATCCATCTATAAAAGTCCATCTATAGAGAAGATATATAAATGGGTGAATGTGTGTTGTGGAAATATATATATGTATGATTTATATATAATGGTGCGTGTAAAGCTTTTCAGGGTTGGCTGTAGTGTAAAAAGTAATGACTTTATTACCTCTGAAAGGTTCTGTGGTTCACATTTAACAGTCTTCTGAATTACAATTCATTACACAATTGTGTGCTCTCTAAAACCGGCACCCTATCAGGGCCGCTATCTGTGGTTATTTCCAATGAATAACTGGCAACATTTTATTGATTTTCTTTTTTAAAAAATCATAGGAAATTAAGCACTTAGTTACAAGTAGGTCTGCTATGTTATTGCACTTGTTTCAGATTCCAGGGGGTTCCTTCCGAAACCACATCTTAAAACACACATTAAAAAGCCAGTTTTGCAGCTGCTTTCCCTGGGTGCCAATGGAGAGGTAAGCAGCGACGTTTCCCCCATTAACATATATTTAATTTCACCGTCATAAAATGCCCAGGGTGAAATGGGAACTGCCCTCCGCTCCCGCCCCTCCCCCAGCCAGATTTCGCCCGGTCCAGAAAACCGGGGCTGAGTATGGGCATTTGATCCCTCCTCATCCTCGACCCTCCTCCCGGGTCCCTGCTGCTCTCCCCTACGGGCGACGCCTCCTCCTCCTTTGCCGCTGGATGCTCGCTAAAGCGCCCAAAAGTGGGGGAGGGGAGGGTTTGTATGTGTGTCTAGAGAAATAAAAATGTGTTGTTTTAAGAGGTTTAAAAATATTATATAAGTATTGATTAATGATGCAGGTGGTTTTATAGAGGGGGGTGAAAGGTCACTTTAAATGCGCACACTTGGATACACAATAAGTATATTTACCTTTCCAGAAGTGGCTTTTAGAAAGTAATAAATTATGACAACGTTAAAATTATTTTCTGGCCGTTCAGTTAACTTCGTTTGGGGCCGTAGAACCTTTGCTGCTTCCATTGAGAGGGTAATTACGCTCCGTGGGCTCTTTTCCCAAACCTTCGCTGACGACACTGCGTGTAAACTCCAGGCCAACAGAGGACCCCTCCCCCCTCCTCCCCCTTTTTATCCTGCCCGCGGAGGAGACTCCCCAGGACTTCCTGCAGTATATATTCTGCCTCTGATCTCCGTACTTAATAGCCAAGTCCTGGTTTATGCTTTATAATGTGTTGACAAGTTTTCTAACAGACTTTCTGAAATAATGCACATATATTCACGTCGGCTAGAAACCCACCGTATTTTTAGTATTTTTAGAGTCGAGTAGATCTATACCCTAATGCAGTGAGAGAGTGTAAATCATACAAGATTTCATAGTCCTTTCAGTAGTTTTCGGTATGAAGTATGAGCCGCGTGGCCTCCAGACGTAACCTTTTAGAAAAAAAGACAGTGCTTTTATTTTATGGTGTAAAGTGCTTTTAGCTCCAGGGCTCTGAACGTGAATGTGGTCAACAAACAGCTCGAAGAGGGAGACTTAATACACTCCCAGCCCTCGTGCCGAGGATCGCCTGGCGCGGGGGACTCGGGCTGAGCTGGAGAATGAAGGGTTAAAGGGTCTGTCTGGATGGAAACTACAAGATTAAAATAAAATATTCACTGTCTGCCTTTAGGGGGAAACACCTTTATAGACTTAAAGATAAATAAATGAATCAATGACTGAGTGATTGAAAACACAATCAGCCCCACCTTGCTTTTTAAATTCATCCTTTTTCTTTCTTTTCTTTTCTTTTTCTTTTTTATTTTCCTAATCAGTCAACAGATCATAAAATAGAGTCATCTTCATAAAAATAAAGCCTAGGTTTTGGATTCTGCACTTGGCATAGGTTTTGCATTTGGGGTTCTTGACAATGGGAGTGCTAGGGTGTTAAGACAAAGGAAAAATGAATTTAAAATATTGGGGGTTGTACTTGAAGAAAAGGATAGACTTCTTTTCCCTCCTCTACTACCGGTGTGACCCAGAGCCCAGAAGGCCCCTGGAGGGCAGTATCTACTCCTCTGCAAAGGCACAGACTTCCCCCAAGGAGATTCCTGGGAGAACCATTAGTCTGGCATCTTCTCCAGAAGCTTCCTGGGCCTTTAGCTGGCTGGAAGTCTGCTTCATATACCTGGATGGACTCATCCAAAGAAAAAGGAGAGAAAGGAATGAAGGAAAAAGCTGCATCTGCTCTAAGTAAGTCTGTACTTGCCTCTAGACTGGGCTGCTGTGTGCTGAGTTGATAATGTATGAGTTGGGGGGAGCAGTAGTCTCACCACTTAGTAAGGGGCCACTTTGAAAAGACAAGGAATCCTGGTTAGAGCACTGCTGGGTGAAATCCTCAATTTAGCTTCTTAACATTAACATCAGAGACACATAGGTACTGGGCAATGCTGCCAGTCCGATGAATGCTGCATTAGAGACTTCCTAGTACAATACTCAGCACACATAGATGATCAATAAATGGTCTTTAAGTGAATAAATTAATAAATTTTATCACCACATGCATGAAACCAACATAACCATCCAAATTCTATTCATTTCCCCCCAGAAACCAATAAGGCTTTGATCAGGCAATCCTATTGTAAGAGTGCATTTAAGCCTAAAAGTGATTCCCATCAAGGATGGTGAGCTCAAAAAAGATTATCTCAAATATCAGAACAGCTGAACAATTAACAACACAATGCAAGATATTTCCATCATCTCCAGCAGCCTACATTAACAAAAATCTTCCAAATAAACCAGTATCAACAACCCAGCATCAGATGATTCCTTTTTTAACATTGCTTTTTGGATATGTACAAATCTGCTTTCACAAATGAGCACTTTTAAAGGAAAAAATACAATCAAATAACCAAAAATAAAAGACATTTCAAACTTTATTCCCCCTCACCACCATGAATCTTTTACTTTTATCATGGGAATAATTTTTTCAATACGTTTTTCACACCCAATTTTAAAAACAATCTTCACCTATTTGCCTCTCTTTTTTTTTTTTGTAAATAAAAGGAAAAGCAACACACACACACACACACACATACACACGCACACATCTGGTCTGACATTTTGTATAGCCAGTTTCAGCCCAATGTGATTTAAAACAATGTGAGTTAAAAACCTCTTAAAATTTGGGTTTATAATGGAAACGCTGACAGACTCTTAATTATAGCAGCCCTGCCAGACACTGCTATAATGAAATAGTTGTGCTTTCATTACTATAGAGGCACTATAGTTAAGGGTCTGTCAGTGTTTCTATTATAAACCCCAAGTTTAAGAGGTTTATAACTTGGGCTATTTAAATGGCACTGGGTGGAATTCAAGTTATCAGTCCAGATGTGAAGTTGTTTTATAAAAGGCAGAATAACTCAGCTGAGGAAGCTTTTGGATATCTCTCTTTCTCTCTCTCTTTATCTCTCTCTTCCCCCCCCCCCACTTCTCCCCTTACAGAACATTGCAGAAATGATTTTTAGTGGTTTCACATGGTCTTATTGCCAACTTCTAGCTATGACTTCACTGTCTAAAAGGAAATTTTATAGACAGTTGGTCCTTTATTTGGACAAGTACTCTTTGCTATTTTATAAGTTTTATTATTTTTTATGCTGGAGTAGGTATGTGTGGGATGTGTGTGCCTATATATATATATATATATATATATATATAGGCACACACAGAGAAATAAACAACTTAAAAATCAAGACTATATGCCAAGGAATATTGCAACCTCATACATATACACAGAGGTATACATTTCATGTTGCATTCTGATGAAAAAGCATGAATTTACCAAAGAGGACAAATAAAGCACCTCAGATCTTCTTTATCTCATCTACCAACTGTGTGACAAACACAGAAGAGTTAGAATTAACATTTTATTTCATGAGAAGCTGTAGTAGCTTTCCTGGTATCACTTGGTTTGTTCCGAAAGCAACAGCTAGCATGGTGCATGCAGTCAGCCCTGAACTACCCAGAGACTGCTCACAAACACTCTATATTTCTCTGCTTGACTTCCATCATCAACAGACTGATCAAGAATTTACCTTGGATTATCTAGTGGACCAGAGTTTTGACATATGTACAATTAACCATAATATGTATTTAATGTTCATTGATGATGATGTGGCTGATGCTGGTTCCGTGCATAAAGAAAACAAGGATGGTGGTGGTGGCAGCGATGATGGTGGTGATGGTGTTGGTGGTGGTGTTAAGGATGTTGGTGGGGGTGATGGCGGTGGAGGAGGTAGTGATGATGGTATAGGTGGGAAGTGGTGGTTTTTCTAATTAACATGTCCACCAGAGGGCAGTAGGAATAGAATGAGTGTTGGAACTCAAACACTTTTTGCTTCTCCAACTCTTGTTGCTTTAGAAAAGCCAGTTCCACAAAGATCAGGTAACAGAGGAGTTAAAGTGAAGTTTTCAAATGCATGCAGCTCTGTGGCCCCCCCACCAAGATGTGGCCTTAGCTGGGTGTTGTTGGCAGTCCCTCAGGTCACTGACTTCATACGGAAAGACCCACCAAGAGCTGTGCAGCAACCACGTCTGCATTTAGAAATCTTTTCACTTTCAGAAGAGCAGTTCCTTTTCTCTGTTCTCTCTGACTGGGATCAGACCACCAAATCAGGCCACCAAGTACCATAAGGCTTTGATAATTCTCACTTCACAATAGCTTTAGTTGGTCTCCTCTGGAATTCGCTGGGTGACAAAAGAGAAGCAGTCATCAAAACATGTCACCCAGCTCAAGTTCCTCTCTGCCAGTTTCTCATAAACCCCACAAATGCCTAGCCCCACAACCACGCCAGATGGATGCCAGTCATCCCCAGAGAGAACCGAATAGCTCAGGCTATTCTGTCCCTTTTCTAGAAATTAAGACACCTTTTTTTTCCCTGATAGTCAACAGTCTTTTTTTTTCCCCTGCCAAATTCAGAAAAGGGAACTTTTCTGGTAGAAAATGCCTATCCCTTTCTCATCTTTCTTTGGCAGCTTGGTAGAGAACAAACAAATCTCTCTGTTCTCCCATTCCTGGTGGTATACAGTTTGTCTGTTTTCTCTCTTTCTTTTAACAAAAAAAATTCCTTGCACAAGGTCAGTTATCTAAACCTCCAGTTTCCTATAAAATGAAGAATCTGGTCCGAAGAATTGTTATTCTTTCTTTCTTTATGGAGCACTGAACTGAGCAGACATGAGACGTGGTCCTGCTTTTGGAATTTTATTTTTATTTTTAAGGCACCAAGACACAGATACACAGGCACAAGTATGTCACATAAAGTTCACAAGTCACATTTGCCAAAGCCATACAAATGCAAACTATTATCCTCATTTTGTATAGCCCTCACTCCTCGGTGCTGATTTGAACAGTTCTAAGCTTACAGAAAGGATCTGTATGAAACAACACAGCTCTGGTCACTCTGACACCAGATTTTCACTTTCTGGAGAAAGAACTTGATTTCCCAGAAATAAGAATGGTAAATAATGAGGTTCAGTGGTGGATATCTGAGATAATTTATTGTTTTCACAGTTTTCATAATGTTTTCAAATAGCTTAACTAGTTACTTTTGGGAAATGAGCTTTCTATGCTACCATTTGTTTTGTAGGCAATATTATGGACTATTCCTAACACCCATTTGTGAATGTATCATTTTTTAAATGACATTGTTTTGGTTCCCTAACACATAGTAGCCATTTAATACATTTGCTGAATCAAGGAATGAATTCCATGAATGCATTTTCAGTTGCTTTTGCCAGTGAAAAAGCACAGGTATTTGTGTCTGCTCACATAGTAGAAATTAAATACTCACATAGTAGAAAATTATATTATTTCACTTTTTAAATAGTTAAGAAGTACGGGGCATTTGCACTGCTATCTAACCTACATATTATAAACTGCATGCCCATTTGCATCAGGTGGAAACAATTACAGTCTCTCTGTGTATATTTCATATAATAACTTATGTCATAAAAGCCACCGCATTACCCAAGTCCTGAGTTGTTAGTGCTTATGAGGTACAGCCTCTGTCATTTTCATCTTTTTTCCCCCTCAGCACAGAGTAGTACTTTTGAAAAATGTCTGGTACATGAATAAAAAGACTTACAAAGTAAACCACTTAGATTCCTAGGAATTTCAAAATCCTATCTACCATAGATAAAATGTCCTTTTTATTGTTCTCAATTCTCAAATTTTGAAATGCAATAAAATATTCAAACAGCCAAATTCCAAATGCATTGTAACACAGAGTAACTCTGGGAGATTAATTCTGGAGGCTGATTCTCCAGATACTACGTTCTTTAAATATCAAGACCTGTTCTAGCTGGTCCTCATTTGAAACAGGCAAAGTTCACAGAGCTTTATATTGGCAACCACCTTCTCATACACCCCGAAACAGTGATTATTATGGCGTGGCTCAGAGAGCAAGGGAAATATCAATCAGTATGTGCTCTTCAAATATGATGAAAAGGAATCATGACCCTCTCTTCTCAAAATATTGAATCTTGAACTCAGAGCTTAATTAGTAGGAGAAAAGACAAAATCAGTAGATTTTCAAAATAAAATTGTCTTCTGACTATAAATGTATTAGGGAGAGAGAGTGTATACATTAATTATTTGAACATTAAGCACATAAAGGGGTTTTACTAAAGATTGTAGATCTTTTGTTGGTGTTGATTTAAAGGATCTAAAAAATTTTTAAATATGCTGATTTTAAAACATATTTTACAAGAAGTCAACTCTCCTTAATGGGAACTTGCAACTCTCAATTTTTTTTCTTTTATTTTAGCACAAATAAATCAAACTGAGAAGCAGCCTCAAACCAAAAAGGAACTACTTTTTAAAAAAATTCATATGACTTTTGCTTTAGCAATGTCTTTAAAATTCCAAGATTGTTTATTTCCACTCAAATCTTCACATTCAAGGGTCTCGATCTCTTAAAATTAATGTGGCAAAGAGATAAATTTAAATGCTGAGTCTAGGCTTGTGTTTTCAGCTATTTCACCCTCAGTAAGTTTCACATGATACCTGGTTTGTAGAAACATCCAAAATTAATACATTTATGACAATGCTAAAAAATTGTGATTCATTGTTTCCAATTTTTAAACATTCTAGAAGGAAGAACATTTTCACTACATGAGCTGAAAAGGTGAAAAGAGCCCCTGATTTCAGCTAGTATCTTTTCTTAATTTTTTAGGGATGAGAGATTGACCAGCAGCGAGGAAATAAATCTTAATCCTGAAGCAGATATTTTTTCAACATAATACCAAATGCCTAAACATTGTGGGTAAACTCCGCACTGAAATAAGAAGATGATGGCAGTAATTATTTTAATGAAAATTTCCCCAGCCAGAAATAACAAACCGATATGTCACCTAACGCTACACTGAAAGGTAGAATACAAGTACACATACTGCTGTGGTGACTAATGTGTGACAAGAGAATCCTTCTGCTAGCATTTTGGGCATTTATGTCACCACATATTATTGATAGCACATATTATTTTTACTACATGGTGTCTTTATTACGTAAAGCCTAATTGCTGGAAAAATTATATTTATCCTCTTGATTTTGATAGGCACTTACATAGAAAGAGTGAGAGGCAGTGAAGGCTGTGTATTGTGGAATTCCACGATCACGGAGGATATTTGCTGATGATTGCTGATACCAGCTCTATGAGCACTGTGCACTGGCCTTTTAAGAGGGAAGGAAATTAAGTACAATAGACTTGTGATAAAATAAGGAAGAGGTTCTGATGAAGACACACGGAGGAAGCAGGCTGACTCAGAATTAAAGCGTCAGCCCCCATCTTCCCTGAATATTCCTGTATTCAGGTATGGCCAGCTAAAGAGTGTATGAAATCTCTCGCTGAACTAAAACCTCTGATAAAACAGCAAGTTAACTGCACCTTGGTCCTGAGGTGGAGATAAGATTAGATTTTTCTGGGTGTGATTTCAATCAGTATGCTTACTTTGGTGGAATGCTTTTCAGGAAAGCAAGCAGAAGAAGAAAAATCTGGCATCCAGAACCAAACCAGCCTTGAGTGTCTGGACCATGTACAGTTTCCACAAAGAAGGTCAAAAAGGGCTGAAAGAAAAGGTGTATCAAAGGTATCCTTGGAACTCAGAACCAATAAAAATGAAACTATTCTCTTCTGAGACCTAATTAACTTTTATATCCAAAGGTACACTGCACATTTGTTCATTGCTTATGACAAAGACCAAAACAATATATGTGCCATGGAACTAGGCTTTTAAATGATCTATTGGGTGGCTTTTCCTTGCCTGTAAGGAATTTTCTGTTCTTTAGACGCAGTCATTCAATGAATAAGTAAGTCTATGCTAATTTTTTTCCCTCAAAACGTTAAGTATTTTCCTATATCTATTTTCAGGGAATCAGGGACTTAGTCCTGTAACTTCCAAAATATTCCCTTCAAATCCTAAAACAAAACCCAAACAAAAATGTTGAGGAAACAAATTTCATGCTACAAGCTTTGCAAGGATTAGTCTCCTATTAGAGTCACTGTTCCTATATGATCCTTTTTCATGTTTTAAAGGAGGATATATATTTTTCTGTTACCTTTCCTGACTGTAAAGCAATCACAGGAACCTGCAGGAGGCACCATAAATATGCAAATTTCTGAGAGATAACTGTTTTCAGTGGTTATGCCTCCAAGTAGTAAGGGAAACAGGAAAGCCAGAGCTGCCTACTTTCAAGTAATTCGTATGTTGGTGGTGCCCCCTGCTGCAATCACAGGGTGTCCAAGAAAGGGAGAATAAAATTCGGAAGCATTTAGCTCTGGTTAATGTGTGAAATAAATGCCCACTCCCTCTGCTCCAGGAGTAGCCACACTCAAGTCCAGAGTTCTTCCTGCCAGCCACAATCCCGCTTTAAACACTTGCCTCAGCCTAAAATTTGGAAGATTCACTTTTATCTCAAAATCTTTAAATATTCGGTTACATAGAGATAGATTTTTTTTTTTTTTTAAGGAAACACACCTCACCAAGATCCCAAGCAGCATTTTCAAAGAATGAAATGTTGAAGAATTTTCTAGAGGTAACCTAATAATAACAAATTGTGAATTAGAAGAACATCCTGACACCCACTAGGACATTAGAGAAGAAAGGGAAAAGTTAGTGTTAACAGTGTAGAGAGCTATTACACAATTTTAAATGGTCTTATTTATTAAAGGAAAAATTTGTGGGCCATTAGCTCATAGTGTGGACCGGATATCTTGATATTCAACATGAAATGAAATGAAATAAATAAATGAAGCCACCAAGTTAGGCACATTGGAAAACTGATTGCCATGGCTCTATAGTCACTCTATTATGGATATTCATAGTAAGACTGAGGAGAGGGTTCTGATAGAACAGAATAACATGATACAATTCAGACCTGTGACGGTCTATTGAATACGTAATATGCATTTTTAAATTGCCTGAATATATATTCACATGACAGAGCCTAATGGGTTTAGGAGGAGTCCTTGTTCTTGATCAAATCATAAAAACTGTTGAAACTTGTCTATCACATCCAATCACATACACTCCTATCAAAATTGTTTTTTGCCTTTTTGTTTAAATTCTAGCATTGGAATAGATAAAAGGAAATTAAACCTACCGAAAAAAAAAAAAACCCCTCAGGTAAGCATTAGAAATTCTCAATTCAGAGCCACCAAGGCAAGCTCGGATGACAGACACTCAACTTTTTCTGTTGGACTCACCTCAATCTTCCCCAATGCTCCAAGCTCCCCAATTTTGCTATTTTTTTTAACATCAGTTTTAGAAATGTAAGCCCTCCTAGTGTAAACATTTCACAGTGGCTATGTACTGGAGTCTGAATTTCAACTTAGCTCTGCACCTCGTTTCCATATTCAGATCTTCACAGCTAGAGCAAAGTAGAGGACTGAGGAAATTACCTATGTAATTTCAGCGATGAGCCTGCCTTTATCTGCATCATCCAGGAGTGCCGTATCCTGTCTGTGGAGCTCTGACCTGCGGGCCCATGAGGAGAGAGAGGGAGAGGAACTGGTGGGTACTATTTACCAGGCAGAACTAATTAGAAATAGATCTTGATATTAAAGGTATCCATCTTTTCCTTACTCAAAACTTAAACAAGCACCCATTACTCTATATGACGAGGAGAATTTTCAAACCCCCACTCTGGGATTTATCGCCACAGAAGGTGAACTGTTAGAGAAAGAAAACCAGTGTGCACAAAACAGCAGTTGGGAACGGAAGCTCCTCCTTCCCAGAGCCCTGGCCATATATGCTCTGTCGCTCACCTTCTAGACACTCAGTACAACCATTCAATCTATTGAATCAAGAGACTGTTTGATCTTATCTGCATCTGTGAGCTGACTGTCAACCTGCTTAGGCTGCATATTAAATCATCTATAGTAGCTGTATCAAGCTGGGATGATCTGTTAATTCTAAATTTATTAACCCTTGGAGTGCAGTCATCATGTTTAATCTAGTGTAGCCCGCATTTATTTTACAAGACTAAATCCTTCTTTAAGATATGGCTGTGCTGTAGGTTAAAAACAGCTAATGTGGGTTTCATTATGATAATTGGGGGGAGAGAGACTGTCAGAAAAATGCTAGTGTGGCTACCCTCACACGCTATGTATTTCTGATTCCAGGTACTCTCCTAGGCTGAGGTTTGCCTGTGAAATGAAATTTTCTCCAGAAACAGTTCTGTCTCTAAAAAGAATGCAAAAGGAATATGAGAAGGGGAAGAAGAAAAAAAGGAGGAAAGCCTCTGATGGATTTCCAGGGGTTCAAAGCCTGAAAGACTGATTTCCATGGCAGCCTCGACCCCTAAAGTAATGCCTGAGGAATATATTTCCAAAGGCACACGCCTCGCAAAAAAAAAACACCAACAAAATTCCTTGAGTGAGTCAAACTTCTGGATCACCTATTGCTGGATTGAATGATTTTTTCATCCTCCCTACCCCAAAGAAGAATTTTGAGCAATTCAAATTATAGGTAGTCCTGCTAAAAAGGGAAAAATAAATGTTCGTTTAATATGTTAATCTGGTCTTTAGACCAAAAAAAAAAAAAAAAAGATATCCATCTCTTCTACTTGCCCATTACTGATGTTATCAACATATTCATAGCTTTTCTTTCAGACACAAACTGCTAGGCATGCTCCCTTTTTTGGTAACCACGTGCCTGATATCTCTCTAATGTAGCCTAATAACAATTTTAGCATTCAGATGAAGCGATTTCATTCTGTGACTGCCTTTTCTATTAGATTTGATTTTGAGAAGCCCCAGTGGGTGCCTTCGAGGCAGAGATCTATCTGTGAGGCTGCTACCGACTCAATAGCAGCCTGGGCTAACCTTGACCTTTCCCGAGACCCCGCTCCATCTGGTGCCAGCCTGCTTTCCACTCCGCCCCCCCTTCTTGCTTCATAGTCAACATTGATCAAGGCAGAACGGAACGCCTCGTCTCCTGGAAGGGCTGGGCAGACTCAGGAGGACAGCACATTTCAGTATATGGAAATGATCAAGCCTCTTATGCAATCATAAATCTACATAGGAGTCTTGTGATTTGATATTTCATTCACCTCCAAAGATTTTTTTTCTCCCTCCCAACAGGGATTTATAAGCTCTGTAAGAGCTCCCGGACAACGGCTTTCCCCAACACCTGGAAATTATCAAGCTTGCTGCTTGCTGAATGATGCTAACAGCTCTAACGCTGCAAATTCATTTTTAACAACTCACTGGCTTTTATCTAGGATTTGTGTGTGCGTGTGCGTGTGTGTGCGTGTGCACACGTGCCTTTCTTTAAGAAAAATCTACCAAAGCAACGGATGGTATCAAAGATACCAAAATCAAATCTGACTTGAATATCCCACATCTCTACACCCATCCCCATTATGTAGCTGTAAATAAATGTGTTTTTCTATCTCTGTATTCTGTCCCCTTTCTTAACCATTAAGAGGGGAGAGATAAAGAGGAAAGAGGAGAGTGGGGGGGGGGGAGAAAGAGGTAGAAAGATGCCAGACAGAGAGAGGTAACACTTGAACGGGCGCTTGAGAGCCACCTCTCCCCTCCCTAGGCCACACTCCTCCTTTCCCAAAGACCGGCACGAATGTCTCCCTTCCCAGAGCACCCACTGGAGTGCACAGATGCCTCTCTGCCTCACACTCTTTCTTTCCTCCTCTTCTCTCTGTATCCGGGGCTGGGTGGTGAAGAGGCTGACTGAGGGGGAGTCACGTGGGCAGCCCGTGGGCAGCGGCGGCAGCAGCTCAAAAGAAATTGACTGACTGGCCGCTTGGGCGCATTTCAATATATGGAAATGACCAGAGGCTTCTGCAATAAATCAGCACTCAACACTTTGTCATTTTTCTAGTTCTGCTTCATTTTCCTATTTTCCTCTTCTCCTCACAGAAGCCTCATTTCTTGCATTTTGCCCTGCTGCGTCTCTTCCCACCTCCAACCTACACGCTCTCCAAATCTTGCCCCATCCTCTCCGTCCGCCTCCCCGCGCCGCCCCCACCGCGCCGCGCGCGCGCGCGCACACACGCGCGTGCACACACTTTATGTTCTCTGGCTCCCCTGTAATTGGAAACATCCGGTCCACGACGATTTTTTTTTTCCCTTTCTTTCCCTTTCAAACATGTTTCTAACAAAATTGGGCAGTATTTGCTGTCGTGCCTCAGATTCTCTTCGAGAGAAGGCGCCCAAGATCCACTCACGTAATCCCCGGGATGGGAACCTCAAGCCCCTTATGATAGAAGAAAAAAGAAAAAAGACCACCGTCCTCGGTTCGCCTTTCCCTACCTCAGACCCCGCTCCCACCCTTGAGGAGTTCCTTTAGCAAACTTAAAAGACTACCAGAAGCAACTCGTGCCATGAAATGCCCCGGACAGCGCTGGGTGGGGAGCCAGAAGAAAAGGGAGGGATGCAGTGGGAATCCACGTGCGTTTGCAGGTTCCTGCTTTTCTTCTGCAGATCCTCTGGTGCCCTCCACCTAACCCTGCCCCAAGGCCTTGGGTCTTTTTTGAACTAAAGCTGTGCGTCTCCGCAATCTGCAATTACTCTGGATGTTTCTCAGGAGCTCAACGCAACCTGAATTTCGCGTTGCGAGCAAAAAAGCGAAATTAACAAAACCCCACCACCGCGCTGTTGGTTTTCGGATTTTTTGGTTTTTTGCTTTTTGGGTTTTTTTTCCAGTTCGGTGCAGCAGCAAACACTACCTAGCTTCCTCCACTCCCTCCTAGCTCCTACTTGAGATCTCTAATCTTTCAACTTGGATCTCTCTCTTGTCCACTGGGCAGCCTCTCTTTCTTTCTTTCTCTTGGATCTGGGAACAATAGGCATGTAAAGGGTCAGTGGGCATCACCCTATAAAGCTCAGAACCTAATTAATTTTATTAAAGGAGGATCTGTTTATGCAATATGACAGCCTGGGGGAATTAACCATTTGAGGACACAGACGCTGTTCAGACACCAGAGATTCCCTCCTCACATCATAAGCTTTTACTTCCTGTCCCATTTGATCCTGGGCGGCACCGTGATCCCGGTCTGGTTTTTGTTTGACCTTGTGAAGGGTTTGTCTAAATCCCGGGGTTCTGCACAATTGAAGGGACACCCGGAAAATCCATACGTTCTCATTGCCAGACGACAGTTGAAATGCTCACCCACTCATAGTTTGTTGCAGTGACAACTCAAAAGCTCTCACTATTTAGAATGGGGGGGGGTGAGCCTCTGGTGGTCCTAAAAGTGGGTATTTAGTGCTTGAAAATGCTCTATTTGGAAATCACAGTGTATTAAATACAATATGCCTTCTCAGAAGCAAAGGAAAATGTAACCATTTTTAAGTTATTATTTTTTTTCCTGCCACTCTGGCAATTTGAAATACATTTTTAATAACCTCCTGGAAAAAAATTTAATAGTTCAGACATATTGTTCTTTGACTTTATATCTCTGTGTATTCCTTAATTGCCAAAACAAAGTTTATTTCATTTACAGGGGCTAACTTTCTATCTCCTAGGAATTCTAATGTCATAGTCTTGTGGGGTTTTTGTTGTTGTTGTTGTTGTTTTTTCATCATCACCTTGGATTTTGTTCAACAGGGATCTAGAAATGTATAGCATATGTATAGAAATAGATATGATAAAATATTCAAGAGCTCTCTGAAGGAAAATGTGCTTGAAAATAACCCCCTCTTTTATGGAATTTGTTTTGATTTAGATCTATAGATAGTAAAAAGAATGAAAGAAACTGTGAATTACACTGAATATAAGATGTTTATCACTTTAATATTACACTTCCTAGCTTCCATGTTGCAGAGCTTTAGAATACTCCTCAAACTTTCAGATTGAAGCTCTGCCTTGTATGGTCTGGGGTTCATCTGGAAGGACCTGCCAGCACATGCCAGCTAAAAATGAGTGTCAATTAATAATAATAAAAAAGCTCCCTTATTTCTACACTCATGTAATTTAACAGGTTTGGAGAGGAACACAGGATGACAACAGTTGTGAGAACATTCCAATATATGCAGTTCTAACAGCTTTCATTCTAAGACGCCAAACCTTCCTAAAATAGAATGGCTTCACATTTCTTTTTTATATTAAAAGTCCAATCTACACTTCACATAAAAATGTTTTTTTGGTCACAAAAATATTTGTCTCTAACAAAATGCACTTTTTTGTTCTACCAAAAAAGCAAACATCTTGAAACAGATTCTCCCAGCTTTTTACGGATCCCCACTGCAATTTTCTGTACTATTTTCAACTGCCCCCTCCCTCATATGAGACACTTTGAACACTGGCATAAAAATAATTACTATTGAAATACTGAACTAGAATGCCTTGTTTCCCAATATTGCTAACAGAATCTCTAATTCTCAAACTGCTCTTTGATGAAAGTAGGCGAATTGGGGGACTTACACTGATATTTCTAAGTGCAGTTTGTTGTTTTAAAAACATATTGTACTGATTAATAAAAATGTGAAATAATTTGAGTTACAAATTTTGAACTACGAATCGCCATCTGCTCAAATGGGGGAAAACCAAAAATTGCCGAATATATTTTCTCACCTCTTTTTTTTTTATGATAACATAAACAACATTCCTGAATAATTAAAAAAAGAAACTGACTACACTTAATGCATTTTTATAGTTCAACAACTGCTTGGCGAGTCCACCTTCTCAAACGTGCAATTATTTTTTTCTTAATTACTTACATATGTTCTATCAAAAGATTCAGGTTCTAGTGCTTTTCCTATGTATTGTACAAATCTGTTTAGCTCTATTAGGACTATAAGTCCCTGGGTTGAAATGATAAAATAAACTGTATTGTGCAGTAACCTCGACTTGGTCCTAGGTGGCAACTATGTCAGTGAGTTGTGAGAATATCCAGAATATCTTCTAGAGGAAGAAAGAAAAGAGAAAAATCTCCATGAACCCAGACTTAGAGGAAAAAACACAATGCATGAAATATATATATAGATACAAAGAAGTATGATAAACAATTTAGTTTATCTTTTGTGGGAAACAAAGTAGGAAGGTGGGTCTGCCATTTATGGCGATTAAAAGCAGTTGTTGATGCTCTGGCATCTAGGACCCAATGGAATTTGCTATTCCACCAGCAGAAGAAACATCAGAAGAAAAATTATCTTGGTTGTATCAAGTTGTTAGCATTCAAGCAATGAAGATGATAAGCCAGAAGCCATCAGTGCAAGAATTCTAACAGGAGATCCGCAGGAGTGTAGAATGTACTGCTTTTAAAACCATATCCCGGGCTTGGGCATGACAGATAAGCAAGTTGATGTTCAATCAGTCTAGAAATAAAGAAATCCAATTCTTTTAATCACAGAATAATAGGATGGTTTTTTGTTTGTTTGTTTTGAGCCATATTGCCCTGGGGGGTGGGGAATGGGAACTCTATTTTGTTTTGTTTGGGGTGGGGGTTTTTTTTGTTGTTTTGTTTTGTTCTTTGGTAAAGAGGAATTGGCACCATGATCAAAAAGCCAAAACTTCGTGGGCTGTGTCTGCATTGTCAGGCTGTGCCAGAGGGAGGGAAGAGTGGGCCAATCGTGCCGTGCTTTCGTGCTCACCACCATCACTGTCCAGTTTCAGTTGAGGTGAAAGTCGGGGTGTGAATCCCCAGGCCCTTGGAGCAATGTGGTGGTGACTTCATCGTGCTGGAGTCAGGTAGAAGGGACTGAAGAACCGGCCATTGGCTTTCCCAGTCTTCCTACTAAAACTGTAATTCCTTGAACATGACAGCTTCCCCTTTTATTTTGTTTTGCTTTTCATTCGTAACCAATCTCTCTAATTTATAGAATATTGAATACTGGGTATAATGTGAAATAGGCAGGCCCCTTAATTAGAGTCAATTTAATACCAAATGCTTTTGAGTGTCAGGAACCTGTGTCAGATGTTGAGGGGACCGAAGACAAGTTAACGAGAAGTCCCTGTCCTGGAGTGGATCAGAGTGCAGGGGAGGAACTCACACATAGGTCAGACTGGAAAACAGGCAATGAGGAGATCAAGGAGGCAGCACAAGGCAGGAGACTGCTGGGGAGGACTGAGTAGGGCTTTGCTGAATGGGAGGATGTGAGGAGAGCACTCAGGGTGGAAGTGCTGGCCTGGGCCAAGACCAGGTGGCATAAGCAGCTCGATGAGTCTGGGGGCTGCAAGTTGCCTGGTGTGGCTGAAGCAGAGTGGAGTGACAGGAAGACGTCTGCCAGGGAGGCTGGGGCAAGTTTGGGGAGGGCCTGGAATGTCACATTTTACAGTCTTGACCTGATTCTGTAGGCAGTGGAAAGCCACTTGAGGTTTTTGAGTAGGAGTGGTGGGTGATATGCTCCTGAAAAACTGAAATCTGGAGGCAATTTGGGAAATGACTGGAAGCAAGTTGTTCTCTGCCAT